TCAAAGGCACGTTTGTGCCCGAGATATGCCTTTCTTTTGGTTATAGTACACCCATACTCCTGGTGGACGTCTGTAATACACTCTTTAATCTTGAACCTAATGGACACTTCCAAGTATGGAATCAAGACAAGAGAAATCAAGTCTACATCCAGGTTGAAGTGAATCTCATTGAATGTGTCCATTTCACTCTGTGGGTGCTAATATATTTACCCACTTTTCACAAGCCTGATTTCTTCTTGCTGGCCCGCAACATCCAGTGACAACCCATAAAGTCTCTACGGCATACAGCCTTGTATACCTCTATATTTGACTCCCTTACCGTCATCTCACGGCACTCTCTTACGCTGTAGATTTTTATAGTCATAATTAAGCGAGCTTTATTAGGAAAATATATGCCACTTGCCAGCACCGCTGGTCTAGACTGATCTCACATTGCTGACCGAAATTCGTCAGCATCCCTTGTGAGGGCATCCACATCCGGCATACTTGGCAAATTATCAAGGTAGGGAATATTCCGCTCATGAAATGGTATATGGGACTCATACACTCTTGGTCTAATGGGAGGTGGAGGAGCATGCTCCCTCGTCAGCTCAGGTTCGACATTCACTTCCTCCTCATCATCACCCTCATCAAGGAAGGGTGTGTCATCTCCAGACTCATCGGCATTGTTGTCATAATCACTATCATCTTTCTGACTCTGCACATCTGCCAAATCACGAGTCAATACGTCGTCTATGGGCAACTGTGTAAGGTCAGAAACATCAAGTTGCTCGTTTTCACTACACAAAAAGAACAAAATGATAAGTTACTCGACTAGATAAATACTTTACATCTAGCTATATCACTTTACTTACAAGTCGTACTATCTTGACGTTCCATGATGGACATTTTCTTGTTGGTGATGACTCCCGGATGGACTACAGCCGGCCAAGACGCTAGAACTACGCATATTCCAACTAGGAGCGGGGTCATAACTTGTAAAATTCATATCCGGACGGTACCCCCTATGAAAAAAATGAGTATTAATACAAATCCAATTCAAACATAAAATAAACATCGCTAAAGCGTAGAAAAATTGAAGTTTACCAGTCGTCTTATGGATTATATAAAGTCAAAAAATTATTTTGTCGCTGCTCATTCGCCGGTGGTGACAAGTTTAAATCAAGGCAAACTCTTTCATCAGGAATCTGTCCGGCAAAAACTGCTCCAGTATAACCATCCGATGACTGGGGGTTATCCCTACTATGCACACCCTCATTATTGGGAACGTCTTCAACCTTGACGTACATTTCCAATAATTTTATTACAATAAATTCCCTGTATTCATCCGGAATCCGCAAAAAATCTCTAAGAGTTTCATCATCTTCGATGTTAAACTCAGAATAATAAGCAAATCCCTACGGAGTCACAAAATACGGAAATCTACCGGTTACTTTAAGGTTCACCGAACGTTTTCTCACACTCATTTTTTTACATAACAACTATACTAATTTATCATACTCCATTGTAAGCAGCAATTTAACATGACACTATGGAGGTGAATTATACCTCATAGAGTTATTCTCCATTACAATCTCACCCCTCACCCCAATATAATGAAACCTTTATTTTTGGTTCTTCATACATTACAAAAAAAAATGCTTGATAATAAGAAGAGAAGTATGAAAGGAAGTTTGAAGGAAAGTTTTGAATGGATTTTCATAGAATCCTAAAGCCTTCAAATAAAGCAAGTCCTAGCTTGAGCTGCAGAATTTTTTTTATGTAAAATGCAGTATGATACAACGCTTTATGTATTTGAATTATTGTTATGTCAGTTATCCGCAGAACACTTATTGGTGGGCCCGAAAATGAAGTAAAACGCATACACAAAAAAACGAAATATTTATGTCAGTTATCCGCAGAACACTTATTGGTGGGCCCAAAAATGAAGTAAAACGCAGTACAATATTGCGCTTTAGTAAAACGTAGTATTATACTGCATTTTACATTAAAAACGAATTATTAAGTAAAATACAATATAATACTGCGTTTTCCTTTAACGGCTACAATTCTGTTAAACTAAAATGCAATATAATACTGCGTTTTAGTTAGAAAGGTAACTTTCTTTTAGCTGTATAAAGGTATTTTGAGTCCAAAAATTCATTATTTTGGTTTCGGACCGTGATTAATCAAGTATGTAGTGGGATTTAACTACTTACCAACAATTCAAGTATGTAGTGGGATTTAACTACTTACCAATTGATCTGAGGACAATAAATATCCCTTAGAAGTACTTCCCAATCTAATGTAATAGCAGATTTGGCAGATAATGAATTTTGAGAAAATAATTTTATTTATATATGATGACTAATGTGTAATAATTGAACTTTGAGGCTGGGTCAGAACTTCCCACTACATACTTGATTAATCACAGTCACCCATTAATATTAATTAATGAAAAAAGTTACGTCTATAATAATTAAAACTTGAAGGTTGCCAAATCAAGTTATAAAAAAATATTGCCCAACTCACCCAAGTCTCTATATAATAGGTGGGGATTTAATTTTATTTTATTTAACCTATTTTGTATGTATAATACTAGATCCAGTACTAGTAGAAAACCAAAAAGAATTTCTTGGTGACAGGTGCAATGACGTGGTGGGATTATAGCCGCTTCTGGGTGCTTGGCTGTTCTCTGTCTTATTATGGCAACTACGAATAAGAAATTACCAAATATAGTATTGAAACTAGCTGTGCTTAAAATAAAGAAAAATTAATAATAATTGTGCCTAAGCTTAATGGCAAATGCATGATTCAATGACTTTGGACCAACTCTTGCCCTTCACGAAACCTACTATTACTTGTTCCCCAAGATGTACTTTTTCCAAAGAAAAAGAGAAGCAAAACACGAAAATTGACCAAAAAGCTACTTGCGTAACCTTTTGCCATTAATTTCCAGAAAAGCCCTTGGAGTTTTGTATTATTTGATTTGACCACCATACTATGCATTTATTAAGTTTTCATCAGCACTTACATTTTATTTGACACATTAATTTTTGTAAGGTGCATGCAGTTTTAGTCAAAATCATTCACCTCAACAATGTAACTAAGTAAAACCAAACTATGGGTTATCACCTTTGATCACATGGATTTAATTTCAACCGATTCATCCTTTAAAGTGCTTAGCATTAAACTCATTGTACATTTAAAATTACTGGTTTAGAAGTTACTCAATTAAAGTTTAGTTATTATTACATAGTACATACTAATATTGTGTGTCAAAAGTATTTTGTTTAGCTGAAGATAAAGTTATACTCCATACATTCATATCACAACTGAATTAGATGCGCAATTTTGTTCACAAATATAATTGTAGGCTCGCATTCGGTGTCTTATGTGATAAGATTGTGTCACTAAAACTTAAAAGTAACTTCTACAAAATGATGATTAGACCAACTATATTGTATGGAGTAGAGTGTTGGCCAGTTAAGAACCCTCATATCCAGAAGATGAAAGTAGTTGAAATAAGGATCTTGAGATGGATGTGCGGGCATACCAAGTTAGATAAGATTAGGAATAAAGATATTCGAGAAAAAGTGGAAATGACCCCCGTAGAGAATAAGATATGGGAGGCGAGACTGAGATGGTTGGGACATATGAAGAGGAGAAACATATATGCCTCAGTTTGGAGGCACGAGAGGTTGGTCTTGGTGGATATGAGGAGAGGTAGAAGTAGGCCAAAGAAGCATTGGGGAGAGGTGATTAGGCAGGACATGACGCATCGCTTAAGCTTACGGGAATATGACCCTTGATAGGAGGGTATAGAGGTCGAGAATTAGGAAGGTTAGTAGCTAGTCGATCATTTTTTCCCCATACCGATAGTATTAATGTTAGAGTAGCATTTTTTTTATTCTTAGATTGATATTACTACCTATTGTTTGATTGTTATCTTTTGCTTCGATTTTTTTAAGATCTTGTTGTTGTTACTACTTGTTGCCATAGCTTATTTTTATTTTTTTTAGCCGAGGGTCTATCGAAAATAACAGTTCTATTCTTCCAGGGTAGGGGTACGTCTGTGCACACACCATCCTTCCCAAATCTCACTTGTGGGAATTCACTAGTTTGTTGTTTTTGTTGTAATTTTAGTTACAAATTCTATTTCATACATGAAGTAAATATCAATGCATGTCAATCAGATATTACACGTATAATAATGGTACAAGGAACTCATACTTCGAGCAAACATACACCGCAAAAATTTATTGTTAATATTCAATCTATGACTTGACTTTCTAGTCATATTCAATATACTTGATTTGACTTAAACAAAATCACTAAACTTTAGATTTTCAAGTTCAAATTGTGGCACGGGTCATTTTAGCCATTTCAGGCTTCTCCAGAATTTACGGAACCACACGTCTCAAAAATATCTCAAACGCTAAAAGAAATGGCCGCCATAAAATTAATAAAATATACGTAACTGTCGGTCCCACACAGTCTTCACGCGAAGCTTGATCGAACCAACCGTATAACAAAAACTAAAAATAAAATAAATTAAAATTAAGCGAGAATATAAAAATGTCACCCTATATAAAAGGAGCATGTTTCGTAAACCCTTCACACCAACAAAAAAAAAAAAAGGAAGACAGGAATATTACAAAAAGAAAACCTCTTGCCTTCTTCCCCAAGATTCTTTCCAAACTTCCTGCAACTCTTCAATTTTGATCGGAGTTATCAAAGATGATGACACGTGGAGCGACAAGGATGACCCGAACTGTGATGGGTCACATGGGTCCACGTTACTTCTCCACGGCAATTCTTCGAAATGATGCCGGAACCGGAATTATGAGTGGCGCCGCCGGTTTCATGCATGGGGTTCCGGCTATTCCGTCGGAGAAAGCGGTGGTGATGTGGGTTAGGCATTTTCCAGTGATGGGTTCACGCAGCGCTAGTACTGTGGCTTTGAATGATAAGCAGCACGATAAGAAAGTGGAAAACGGCGGCGCCGCCGCATCTGGCGGTGATGAGAAATCAGTAGTGAGTTATTGGGGTGTTCCGCCTTCAAAGGTTACTAAAGAGGACGGTACTGAATGGAAATGGAATTGCTTTAGGGTAAATTTAATTTAGCTTTTCACATATTTTCTGATATTTTCTTTTTGAAAGTTGTCGAGATTTTAGAGAATTTAATTTTTCTTTTTTGTGACTAATGGTGGATTTATTTTGTGGGACGTAGCCATGGGAGACGTACAAGGCTGATTTGTCAATAGATCTGACGAAACACCATGCGCCAACCACTTTCTTGGACAAATTTGCTTATTGGACCGTCAAGGCTCTCCGATACCCCACTGATATATTCTTTCAGGTATTTAAGTTATTCTTTTTCTTGTATTTGTATTTCTGGTTGTTTGAATATGACGTTATTTGTCCGAACAAATTTGGTACTCCTATATGGCTCTCACCCGATTTAGAAGAGAAAAAAGTTCAGTTACCTTTCCCAGAATTTTGGAATATTGCTTAGACCTTAATAATAATAATAATACTAATAATACTAATACTAATAATAATAATAATAACATTATTATTATTATTTATTATTATTATTATTATTATTATTATTATTATTATTATTATTATTATTATTATTTCAGGCTGTGATACTCTATTTTTTACCTTTTATTTTGGATCTTGCTCTTACAAGAAATGCTTTTAATCTCGTTTCTGAAGAATTTTAGATTGCTTTCTTATAGTTTGTAGTAATAAAAATAGTACTAGTTGCTTCTGTGGTAGATTTTAATTGAAAGCAACTAAGAAGAAATAAACAAATGAAGGGATGGCTAAAGTTTTAAGTAATTTTACTCCGTTATAGATCCAGATTCAAGAATAACTCTTCTTTATGCTATCAACATAAAGAAATGTGGTCAACTTGAATATTAAAACTAATTATCATTGAAAATCAAGCATGGGATGGGCGAGAATGATATTCTGGATGTGGAATTAATTATTACCACAAATTCTTTTATACCTACTGAAGTTCAATTCAATGCAATTCTATTGGAGATTAATTTGTGTGGGTTATAATTAATGTGGTGCAGAGGAGATATGGTTGTAGAGCAATGATGTTGGAAACAGTGGCTGCAGTGCCTGGAATGGTGGGAGGAATGTTGTTGCACTGCAAATCACTGAGGCGATTCGAACAGAGTGGAGGATGGATCAAAGCACTGTTAGAAGAAGCTGAAAATGAGAGGATGCACCTCATGACTTTCATGGAAGTAGCCAAGCCTAATTGGTACGAGCGTGCACTAGTCTTTGCAGTGCAAGGCGTCTTCTTCAACGCCTACTTTGTCACTTACCTTCTTTCACCAAAGTTGGCTCATCGTATCGTGGGTTACTTGGAAGAAGAGGCAATTCATTCCTACACTGAGTTCCTAAAGGAATTGGACAAGGGCAACATTGAGAACGTTCCTGCTCCTGCTATTGCCATCGATTACTGGCGTCTCCCTAAAGACTCCACTCTCCGTGATGTTGTCTTGGTTGTTAGGGCTGACGAGGCTCATCACCGTGATGTCAACCACTTTGCATCTGTAAGTGGAGCAACACAAAACAGTTATAGACTGTTTATATAGCAAACTCTAATTAATTATGGTTGATTTTTGTTCTTAAGTCCTGACTAACTAATTTCTATGCTTTTGATTGCAGGACATTCATTATCAGGGACAACAGCTGAAGGACTCTCCAGCACCAATTGGGTATCACTAAGCCACTAATACACAGATTGATCAAGTTAAATGTCGCTGTTATGTTCTTTTTTGTACTGGTATAGAGCTAATGTAGTACCTACTACTATTTTGAATGTTGATGTACATATTTTTTTTCTGTGGATTTGGTTGGTTGTTTACTACTGCCTTCATGAATCTCTGAGATGGCAGTAGAGCACAATGAGCTCTGTATGATTGGAGCATATACCTTTTTGATAAAATTTGCCATCTTGGTTGACCTTTTGCTTTTTTTTTTTTTTTTTTTTTTTTT